TAAGTACCTCAGCCTTATCCTGATCCTTGGTCACCAAGTTGCCATTGGTGTCCAACAGTGGGTGGAGATTCTCCCTAGCCCTCCTCCTGCTGTTGATGTATTTATGGAAATATTTATTGTTGTCCTTTACCTCAGTGGCCAAGTTCAGTTCTAGCTGGGCTTTGGCCTTTCTAATTTTCTCCCTGCACAGCTTCATTACGGACCTGTAATCATCATAAGTAGCTTGCCCATGCTTCCAGAGACCATAAACTTTTTTCCTTTTGCTCCTGAGTTCCAAACAAAGGTCTCTGTTCAGCCAGTCCGGCCTCCTTGCCTGTCGGCTCATCTTCTGTGGCTGGGGGATGATCAGCTCCTGCACCTTTAAAATAACTTCCTTAAAGTATTCCCAGCCTTCCTAGGCTCCCATGCTCTCCAAAACATCCTCCCAAGGGACCCTCAACCATGGTCCTAAAGAGGTTAAAGTCTGCCCTCTGGAAGTCCAAGGTGGGAGTTCTTCTGACTCCCCTCCGTGGTTCAAGAGTTTATCAAGTTATTAAGTGATGAGAAGAAATTGATGACATATTTTGCACACAGAATCTGTAATTAAATATATATATATATATAAGATCAAGTTTAAGGATAACAAGCTTGAGGTACTTCACAAAGATATCTCAGGTTGTCAACAAAAAGGGAAATAGCACCAGAACTGAACTGTCCTTGTTGTCCACTTGCAGACAACATATTCAGTCCTTGCATATAGGATTTTCTTTTTTTTTTTCAAAAGACCAGGTCTCTTCCAAATCATCTGGCATACTTGCATATTTGGTATTAAATTCACTGGGAGTAGGGATAGGACCATGATGGATCAATATCGAGTGTAATCCTCTTTTGGCCTAAGCATTTTCATTTATTTTTCTCTTCTAATTCATGTTGTCTTCTTAGGGCACTCTTTCCTGTGCAGATTCCAAAATAGGATACATGCCAAACAGTGTTCTTCGCATGTCTCTCGTATTGCATATACTTAATGAGTTTGAACATAATTTATTACCAGTAGAGAGCACTCTGAAATTAGAATTAATATTGGACGTTCCATGAAGAAATTATGTTTTAGCCATAAATGCAATGCGCAGTGCAGAATTAAACAGATTAATTTTTAAGCATACAATGTATGTACTTGAAAAAGTAGCTTATTTTTGCCATTCTTTAAAGACCAAAGATTTGAATTTTCTAAACACAGTGTAAAAGAAAACATGGTACTGTTCTTTAGTTTAACCTTTACAAGTATGACTACTAGACGTCATATTTCTATCTTTCCCTTATTTTTTTTTTATTCAGGGATCTACTGTAAATAGTATTTACAGCACGTGGCTTTTTCTTTGTTTCCAAACTTGAAAATTATTTGATTAACACTGAATAGTGATGAGCTTTCATTTCAGTTTACTTAAATTATTTTTATTAATTTTCAGATTACAACCTAAAGCCTGTTTTTCATCAGTAACTTCATATAGCGTTTCATTCATACTATTGAAAGACATAAGAAAAATAAAACATTGCCATAATCAATAAACTTAAGTACTGACTTTCAGTCCTGCTTTGTTTAGGATGCGTTTATCTATGTACTAAATCACATCATCATTGCAATTCTGTCCATCTTGCAGTTTTTTAATTTTCCTTACCATGTGTTCTAATTACTCTACTCTTCTTGAACTTGACAGGGCTTGCTTTCAAATTCTGTTCTGGTATTTTGCTTCGCCCTATAATGTAATGGTGGTTTTTAAATTCTACCCAGTCCTTCTTGTGCTGGAGGGCTCTAATTTTACTACATGACCCAGCAAAAGGATGAGACAATTAAGGATAAACTCCAGAATTTAGTTTTTGTGGAGGTAAGAGCAGCTTACCTATCCATATAAAAAACATAGAGAATTTTATGCAGTGCAGTGTGTGCAGCTCCATCCAGACAGATTCTACTTTTCTTAGGCTCTTCTGGCTGAACCTCACTTTCTGTGTATTTCTCTTTGTACTTGTGTGGCTGGACATCCATACAGTTCCCTGTGCCAGGGTGCTCTGTCATCCAGTTGGACAAAAACACTATTGCACTCTGAGATGAAGCTGTGGATAAAGATCCACAGGAAACCTGCCTCTTCACTGTATGCAGAAGAAAGATTAAATGGAGCTGAAGCACAGTCGAGATTAACTTTCATGTACTTAATACAGGTTAATGCATAGCTGAGAGTTTTATATATAAACGGTTAGGCAGTTCAGGCAAAATAAGACATGTAGGAACAGAGCTGAATCAACAGTGTAGGCTTCTCAAGAGAGAGAGAGATGAAAGAGAAAGGTGTGTACTGTATATATTCATTAGCATATGAACAAATAAGTGTGTGACCCATACCTCTGAATGACTAATCCAAATTAACTCCTTTCATCACTGAAGAGTCTTTTAAGGCCTATCCAACATAGACCAAATTTATTTCAACTTCGCTAGTCATCAACACACTGATTTGGGTCTACAGGAATCTTTCTGATAACAACATCATTAAAATAGAATCATTTAGTTCTAAATGTTATGGAATGTGTGCCTGGTGTGCCAAATGCTAATGCATGGATGTCTTTACAGCACTTTGGTGGGGTAAAGGGAGATCTAGGTGTTTAATTTACATACTTGTTGAAATGGTAAATGTAATCATGTCAAAATGAGAAATCGATTTTTTGCTGTGGCTGTCTGTAGAACACCAGTGTACCAGTTAAAAAAAATAACACAGGTAAGAGCCATGTTGAATTGTATTTTTTTTTAATTTTTATGGATCCTCTCAGGGAAAACTGCTTAATTTTAAGGGAAATGAAGAGAAGTATTAAGGAAGCTCTGTCCTAATGAAACAAAACATTAATGTTAGGGGAAATAAAGAGGCTTTATTTTCACGCTGATAAATTGCACCCTGGAACAAAATTTGTAGTTCTGCTCTAACACCATTTTGTAGTTTGTTCTTGCACAGCAATTTTTACGTATTGTCTATGTTAAATTGATATATATGCAAATACAAGCTTAAGAAACAACTTTTTTGTCTTGCTGCCAAAAGTACTGGTGAGACAGAGATATTAAGACAAAAAATTTTACACATTTCAACTGTGTCAGTAGCCCTGCACCAATGCGCTTATTAACCTTTAGTTAGAAAGGGCTTTTATCACAGTTTAAACTTTCCTTACAGAATATGGTTGGCAGGATTTAAAAAACAAAACAAAAATTTATACAGAAGACTTGATAATCACCGATTGCTTTGGATTCCAGATTCCTGGTTTATTTATTAGTAGGCTTTCCTATTTGAATGATATAAATAACCAAGGCAAAGACCCAGCTTGCAAGAAGCTATCTGGGTCTTTATCACTGAACAGAAGCTGTCACTTCATGGGTGTGGTTCACTTGCTTCTTTCATGTATTTCTTGCTCTAGCATCAGCCGAGCCTCATCCCATGAGAACTTGTGGCTGCTGTTTTTCTCAGAGCTTCCTTATCTCAGGTTCCAGGGTTGTCTTTTTTTAGCTCACTTGTTGTGTTGCAATCTCTCTGTGGACTCCCCAAACTGCAGTGTGATAGGGCAGCTGAAGGGCATTGTTTAACTCTGTATCTTGGCTCAGATATGTTTCACCTCTCTGGTTTTTGGAGGGAACTGATAATTAAAGATGAGAGGCTTGTCACTGTAGCATAATGTAGGAATACTTCAGAATCAAAAAGCTAACGTTGCAGTACTTGAGAGGAAATGAAAGTTCAAGGATGTCCGCATTATTAATCACTTGTATTTCTGTCTGTGACAAAAATAATCTGTATTTGGTATGGCTCTGCATGAATATTCACATTTTAAAAAATACCAGTGTATTCTTTTACCAGTTTCCTCTTAATGGCTTTGCTGTTCTCTAGACACCTATGAAAATCTCACCTGATGAAAAGAGATTTGTATCTAAATTTGCCAACAATAAATAAGAATACCTGTTGCCTAAATTTGATGTGCAATCTGTAGATTATAAATTCTCAGAGATAGAGATTGTCTTTTGTCCTGTGCTAGTAGGATACCTAGAGCAATAGTGTCATTGTAATTGACTGTAGGAGAATAGGTATTGAAACCTAATATTTCAACAGCTACAGTACACAAAATGTGTTTTGAAAGATGATATATAAAGGCTCTATTGCAATCTGTAGTTGGTAAACAATATAAAAATAACAAATACGACACTTCCCTTGTCTCTTCTGTGCCCACAGTCAAGAAAACATAAAGCTCTAGATTTAGGGAAATCAGTGTTAGAAAATACTCTGCTACAAGCAATAGTATGCAGAAACTTAGTTTTACCTTTGCAAATGTACTTCTTAATTAAGACTTCAGTTAAGGCTGAATGATATTCCCTCACTTAAAATGAAATGAAATGAAATGAAATGAAATGAAATAAAATAAAATAAAATAAAATAAAATAAAATAAAATAAAATAAAATAAAA